AAGTCTCAACATTCCCCTTAACATCAGGTTTGCTGGTCGAATTCTCCATGACCAGGGGGCTTCTTCATTCTTGCGCCCCGAAGACAAGGAAACGGACGAGACACTTTCAAATGGCGCGTGTTGCTTGTTAAAGCTTGCTTGTGTGCTTATATCTATCTCTTGAAGGCGTTTCTACATTTGCAGTCGTTTGCTGCATCTGATTTCTATCACTGCGGCATCGGGCCGCAACGCTCCAAGCTCGAAACAAAAATCGAGGGGGAAAAGGGGGGAAATTCCGCTATCTCCAGCGAGCCTGGAAGGGATTTCATACGAGGACGATTTCCAGAATGGCAGAGAATCTCAACACCAGCAAGATCAAGAACTGGCGTTCGATCGTCACGCTTATTGTTTTCATCATCACTAGTATGTCTAGCTACTGGACCCCATCGAATCCTAAGCGACTGACTTCTGCAGATATCATCGTGCTTTTTCCCTTCCATATTCCCATCTATATCCCACGTCCATTCTCAAATGCAGTGCTGGATGTTTTGAGTAAATTGCGAATTATCCCTCCCAGGAAAAATCGCTTTCGATCCGATGACCAGGAAGACGACAATGGCAAACTCAAGCCATATGTGCGAATTAACTTTCCTCTTAATTTTGTCACAGCACCGCTCATAGCAGACCTCTTTCTGCTGGCTATCTTGGCGATCGGGCGAGAGGAAGTGCGCGGTGGCACGCTTGGAGCCGACAATATCGAGCCAATCGATATCATGGCCTTCTTCCTGACTCTGGCTTACATCGCCATCTCCATCGATGCTTCGGGTCTGATCAGGTACTTGGCTTTCAAAGTCCTTCAGAAAGGTGGCAAGGTCGGACACCGGCTCTTCTTTTACCTCTACGCCTTCTTCTTCGGCCTGGGAAGCTTTATTGGGAACGACCCGATCATTCTCTCTGGTACCGCATTCCTCGCCTATATGACCCGAGTATCAAGCAACATCGTTCACCCAAGAGCTTGGATTCATAGTCAGTTTGCCGTTGCCAATATCGCCTCTGCGATCCTCGTCTCCTCGAACCCAACCAATCTCGTGCTAGCTGGGGCTTTCCAGATCAAATTCATTGAATACACTGCTAACATGATTGTTCCCGTCGTGGTCACGGCCATTGTCTTGTTTCCGTTTCTACTATACATCATCTTCGCGGATGAATCTCTCATCCCTCTCTCCATCAAGATGCACGAACTCACACAGGAAGAAAGAGACAAGAAGCCTGTGAACCCCAACATACCTCACGCGAGGGGAAGGGCTGATGAACAAGAAGACCTCGCCGACGATGGACAACAACTCTCGCTTGAAGAGATTATGAATCCTTTCCTAGATAAGGGGGGTGCTGCATTTGGAGCTCTCATCATGGCGGCCACGCTCATTACTCTGCTAGCCCTCAATGCAGCTAGCCAAAATAGCCACCCGCATCCTGTCTTCTGGGTGACCCTCCCGGCTGCGGTGGTCATGCTGTGCTGGGATCTTGCGTTTGGATGGTACCACCGTCGTGAAACGCGCGAGATTGCCCGTAAGGGCCGCGAAGAAATCGAGCTGGCCCGAGCGGAGCGTGCCCTTAAAGATGAGGAAGCCATGCGCGCACAACACATTGCCGAGGCATATGAATTTGCTGAATCGACAGAAGCTCGATTACAGAGAGAGCCCGACACTGAACCACGCGCCGGCGAGGGGGATACGGCCGATGTCACCAGCGCACGGCCGCCAGATCGTGCTTCTACAGGCTTTTCGTCCGAGATGTCAGATGGCCAAAGTCAGACACTGGCCTCTCCTCTCGAATCATCCATTTCAACACTGGTACCCAAGGATGATCAGTTGCAGAATGGACAACTCACAACCGACGCCATGAGCACGCTGGACGAAAAGCAGGAACTGTCCACAGCCGCGCCACGGGAGTTGTCAGGTGCGACTTCCAGTCTTGAGATGGACGTGGAAAGACGGATCTTCTCCGAGAAGGTATCGCACGAGGCTGCATCAGGAAACGGCCGAGAACGGGTAACTCTGGTGTCTCTTGCCGCAGACGTGTACAGGTGGTCGCAGGAGACATTCCCCACCGCTACAGCGGTGGTGTCCCACATGCCATTTGCGCTTGTGCCTTTCGCCTTTTCCATGTTTGTCCTCGTACAAGCCTTAGTCACCAAGGGCTGGGTCCCGGTTTTCGCTCACGGATGGGACCATTGGGTGGACAAGACGGGGACCGTCGGAGCTATCGGTGGCATGGGCTTTCTTTCGGTGATTTTGTGTAACGTGAGTTGCGAAGCTCAATATTGAAAACTGTCGAACCTGCTCAACTAATTTGGCACATTCGCACTAGTTTGCTGGCACCAATATTGGTACCACCATTCTCCTTTCCCGGGTCATACAAGCATGGAAGGAGATCCACGACGCCAACAACACCTACATCAGTAACCGGACATTTTGGGCAACTGTGTACAGTATGGCGATCGGAGTCAACTACGGTGCCTTTAGCACGGCTTTTAGTGCATCGTTAGCCGGTCTTCTTTGGCGGGACATTCTCGCCAGGAAGCATATTCGCGTCCGCAGCCTTGACTTTGCACGAGTGAACCTTCCCATCATTGCCATTTCCATGGCTGTAGGGTGTGCCGTCCTCGTTGGGGAGGTCTACATCATGAGAGATAACTCTCCCTACAATCCACCAACATAAACTTAGAGCGTGAACCGGCTAGAGTGCCTCGGAGGTGCTCTCATCCCAGCTCATTCCATTCCTTTGGCATTCGGGTGATCTCGGAAGTTGTCTCTTCAAGAGACTTGTCGCAACAACGCCCTTAAGCAAAACCACTGTTCATGTCAGCCGCAAGAGATGAATGCAGGCTCCAAAGACTCTGATCCGACTCTGAGCCTTGCAAGGCTGCCGTCGTGCGGACCACCATATATGAACGTCCTTGAGAATGAAGGGACCATGGATCATCATTAATTTCAGAGCTGCTCGGCTTGAACGCCGACTTGAAAGGACCAACTGCCTACTTGAGGGCAGTGTGACAGAAGAAATCTTCAACTGAGAAGACCCATACAAAACCGATCCGATCATGCCCGATCCCAGAGTTTTCGTTTCTTGCGTTATGTTTACTTGGAAGATTTACGACTCTTTACGACTTGACGACTTCACAACGAGCCATGTGCCTTAGATTCCGAATACATGCGCATTTTGATAGACATCTCCCTGGATGCTCCTTTCCTGAGCAATCAAACTCAAAAGTGAACAATGTCATACGTGAACATCGAACCAAGAACCTTATACTATCCGGAAATTTTGATTGCTCAGTTGCTCCTAGTCCTAGCAACTACCTTGTGCAGATCCCATGGCTCTCTCCAGACCAGGGCCAGTATTCCATATCTGCCTATATACAAACGTACCAATGTCAGGCATAAAAACCTTACTTTTGAATCAATAGTCTCCATCGGGAATGTAGGTTGCACAACATTCAGGAGACAGGGTACTTACAACTGTCCGTACATAGCGAATCAGCTTCCGGTCCGTAAGACTGTGGCAACATGTTACCCATGCAAGGCTTGAGTGACGAGATATGTGCTTTACTGCCTTATCACAAGTGATATGCAAGTTTAGGTAATGTCGGCATTGCATTCTGATCTCTGGTAGGAAGAGGTTGGCTGACTCTCGTGAGAAAGTCCCGCTCTTATTGGTTGGTCATGTCATGCTTCCTTTTGTAGAATTCAATAGCATCAGGCATGGTTGATCAACTTCGATCTTCTGCGTACCAACTCAAGCTACGGAGTAGAGCGGATCGACACTGTTTTTTCTCTCTCTTATCCTTTGCATAACATTAGCGCCTCGATCGATCAGCCACATGACAGCTCCTCGTGCTTGCTGTTCATGGCCAAAGCTAAAGGCACAGTGCCCCGGTCATGGTTTATGGGGATGCCTTTGCTGACTAGTATCTCCGCCAGTTCGATGTTGCCTGCCTCGGTACTGGGATGTAGGAGAGTCTGGCCTTGGGCATGATTCGCCAAACGTGGATTGTGGGAACTATGATCCAGGCATCAGAATGAAGGCAAGGCTGGCAGATAGCCGTACAGAGACATGGCCTTGATGTCTTTCTCGCTGACTGAACGGCAAAAGCGGGATACAGGAGAGCTCAGAGTCAACACCTGATATGACCTCAGAGACGGGAAGTCCTCGTACGTCGTGCACGAACTACCGTACAGAGTTCGGGCTGTAAGGATTGGTACTCGAATGGTGAGCTCTGGTCCAATTTACTGTTCACTGTTGCCTGTTCTAGCTCCCATCGAGATGGGCCTAATTTCACCTGTCATAATTGATCAGTGACTCGGATATCTAGGGCTGTTCGGCCGGTGAGACTAAAAACGGAACATGGCCGAGATCAAGGAGGTACCTGCCTATTTTGGAGTCAGAATTCGTCGGATTTAACGGTTCTGCCTCAGGTCCCGGTTACTGGAAGACACTTCCCCAATCAGAATTCATAATGAATGTCTTTCGGACTTGTCAATCTCATTCAATTGCTTGACTAGGGTAGAGACACTATGTGGATTCAGTATGGGATTGTTCACTGTATACGCGTGACAGTGGAAGGCCTTGCAGGAGTCGTGGTATACTTCGCAACAATGACGGACCACAACGTCTACCGGATGCACAGAGCATCGGATCATCTGGACTTTTGGATAGACTCGGATTTCGATCTGCTACTGTCGTCATCTCGGCGATAAGTAAAGTTTGACCCATTGCGTGGTGCGTCGGGCCCAGCACAGATTCAATGACGGGCGAGCAGTTCGGTGCATAGGTCCTCTTGCCTCAATGTCGAGACCGGGGTATAAATACCTCCAATTACCTTGGCATTTTCGGATGAAATCAGATCCAGACTGATCCTACATCCCACTGTTCTTGCCATCATTCCCGTGTTGTTTAGTGATAACGGCCATTCCAACAAAGTCCAACCGTGGTTTCCAAGTCAGAGACTAGCCTCAAGCATGCAAGAAGCCAGACCAGTACGTCTCTTGTTCCTTCCTCCAGATAGAGGACTCAGACTAATAATCTCCAAGTCCTTTGAAGATCTCGCATTAGCTCTGCACGAGCATATCTTCGCTCAGCCCCAAGAGAGCTTTGCGAACCAGCCCTGGAAGTTGGTCAAGGCCATAGAGACCTTCGCACGGAACAAGCGGATGATAATCTTCAAAGAGAACAAGTTAATCTTACCCCGTCAACAGCTTCAAAGTCTGCAGCCATCTCCGAAGACAATAATCGAATTCGGTACCTACGTTGGTAACTCCGCCATCGCCTGGGGTGCGATTCTACGCGACCTGCATGGCGAGAATGTGCACGATTGTAACGTCTATACTTTCGAACTGAGCCCAGTAAGTGCTCAGGTAGCTCGAGACCTCATACGTCTCGCTGGGTTGGAAGACCTCGTTCATGTCCTGGAGGGGCCTGCTGCGGAATCGCTCAAGAAATTGCATGTAGAGGGAAAGGTGAAGGCGAGAGGAGTGGATATGGCGTTCTTCGATCACTGGGAGAAGTTCTATTTGCCTGACTTGCAGCTCTGTGAAGACCTCAAACTGTTCCACAAAGGGTCTCTGATCATTGCGGACAATACTGACAAGCCTGGAGCTCCTGACTATCTGGCGTATGTCAAGGCTGGGGGTCGAGGAGGGAAGGGGGCTGTTCGGTATGATAGTCAGTCATTTGAAGCGGTAGCGGAAGAGGATCACCCGGTATGTCTCTAGCTCTCTGTTTTCTCAGACAGACGACTAGACATTGACTCGTAGATCAGTGCTGTGGGACTATAAGGATATAGTGTGAAGTTGGACGATGCGGAGCGCAAGTCGTTTGACAGCAGCTGTTACCCAGAAAATTACTTCTTGAAATAGATCCAAATAACATAAATTTGCGTCGAATTCCTGCAAATCTTAGATATGAAATAAAGTCGAAATGTATGATAATTGGGAGTCGAGGGTTGATCTGTATGCCCTCTAAAACATAGTACCAATTCGCCGACCGAGGCATCTCATTGGCGGTCAGCCTGGTTTGCAGCATCTCTTGCGGTTTCTTGGGTGCGGAACAAATACCCCAGCGAACATAGCTACTCCATTCTCCGCATCCCCTCAGGTGCGGCCAATATCAATGACCATAACGACAACGATAACGATGACATGAGATCCCCGATCTGATAGTTATACATCCCGCTTATAACATATACCCGAATCACGAATCAGAGTAATGCTGCACGAATTAAAGCATTGAAGTCTCTTCCTCAACAGGACGATTGTCCGAATCCTATCCACCATGTACGTCAAATACCTCCCCCCCCCAACACATACACATCTCGATTGACCAAATTCAAAACACAGGGCCGTCTTCTCCCTCATCATCATCAACAAAGCGGGCGGCTTGATCTACCAGCGCGAATTCCAGCCGGGACTGCGCAAACTCTCCACAAACGACTACCTCGTCCTAGCAGGGACGTTTCACGGGTACGTCGAATGACCGCCTCCCAAGCGAGCATCAACTTCTTCTGAAGCAAATGCTAACAGCAGCCGTCACCTCCAGCGTCCACGCAATCACCCGCTCCATCACTCCCAAGATCCCCATCTCCACGCACCTCCCAACAACACCCGCCTCTTCCTCCTCCAACGTCGCCCTGTCATCGCCCTCGGGCACCTCCACACCGACCCCGTCCGTGTCCGCATACAGCCTTCCTAACCCCGGCGTACCAGCGACAGGCCTGGAATCGCTCGAGACGGATAAGTTCCGGTTAACGTGTTTCCAGACGTTGACGGGGACCAAGTTCCTCTTGTTCACGGATCCGCTCATGGCGAATATCGATGTGGTGGTGAAGAAGATCTACGAGTTATATTCGGACTATGTGATGAAGAATCCGTTCTATCAGCTGGAGATGCCTGTCCGGTGTGAGGCGTTTGATCGGCATCTAGCCGGTTGGTTGAGAGGGAGGACATAATGAGTTTGGCGGGACTGAAATCAGACCGCATTTGAGTGCTCGCGAATGGACTACGCTCGCTGTTTGGCGAAATGGCCAATGATGACTTCTCTTACTTCTGGTAACTAATTGGAGCACGGTTTCGTGGTCATGATAGAATTTGCAATACGACTCATATCCCTTCAAAGCGCGTAGTGGAAGGCACGCTTTCTAGAATTACAAGAGCAGATGTCAATACAGAGAAACGCCGGGTATGCATTAGAGTCATCCACCATATAGAAGGTCACACGACCCTTTCCTACGCGGTGTCCATCTTGTCACCGTCCTCTTTCTTGTCTTGGTTTCCACTCGATTCCCCGCCCGGCTGGCCTTCCTCGGGGATGTTATCCAGGTTCGCTTTGCCCTCACGCTCTTCCCTCTCACGCTTCTCCTTCTCCTGTCGGTTCTTTTCTTCCTCAAGTGAAAGACGCAGGGCGAATGCGAGCTCAGGGTCGTTTTCAGCAGCGTCCTCGAAATTGAAACCGCCCTCACCACCTTCCGCACCGGCGCCGCCTACTCCCGCATCGCCGCCCAAGATAGGCGTGGCCTGAAGCTCCTCACTCAGTAGGTTCGGTCCGGGGGGAATGATGGCTAGATTGGAGCCGTCGCCACCCTTGACATTCTCCACGAACGCTTCCAATTTCTTGGTTTGATCGGACTCCAGGTCTCCAAAGGCAATAACATCGATCGAGACATTATTCTTCTTCATCTTCTTAGCCAGCTTGACCAGTGTTTTTTCGTCTTCTTCGATAGGGGAGCAGGAAAAAACGATGATGCGTTGTCTCTGGGACTTTTCGGAACGGTGCTTTAGAGCAAGCTAGATCATCGACCTCGTCAGTGTCTATCAATAAAACTCGATGTCGAGGACAAATAACATACACCGGCCACCTGTATACTGGAGCTGAGATGGGCAGTGCCATGAATCTTGGTGCGGTGCAGACCGGCGAGAATGCTGCCAAAGTCGGAGGTAAATGTCGAAAGAACTTCAGGACCCTTGCCGCCCATACTCATGAGCCCAACAGCAGACTGTGGATGTGCGCGCATTTTGGCGCTGTGAATGACGCTGACGGCATCGACCTGTGCTTGCCATCGTGTTGAGCTGCAAGTTGTCAGCCCTTGAGCGACAGAGCTTATCAAAGCTGGGAAAGACCAAGGAACCCTCACGTGTAGTCTCCGTTTCTGCTGCTTTCACTATTATCCACACTGCAAAGAGGTCAGTCAACGGACAGTTAGCTTAAACCGAGCTGGGAAGGACGGACATGATCATGGTTGCTTCGAGCGACATCTCGGCTAAGGTCTATTCCGCAAGTTCTGGATGAGACAGTATGTAGATATTATTATTCAAAAAGATAGAATTGACTCTTTAAAAATTAATAAAAGCTCCGAGAAAAGGCAAGAGGCGAGTGAGGAAGATAATAGTGATGGAAGTGATGAAGATGGGTGGAGGTGACGATGGAGGTTGGAGCTGCAGGCGAGATGTCACACTCTCCGCTCGGAAGCTAACGACGAATTAAGTCAGCGCCTTGTTTACTCCCCGTCACTGCCATCAACATCATCCTCCACGCGCAATTATCGTCCCTCATTGACCTCCCACACAACGCTCTGTTCTCATTTATCGCAATCAAACAAGTTACCTTGATCTAATAACCTATTGCCACACACTTTGCGATGGCTTCTCCAACTAAACGCAAGTCTCCCGACGCAGACCATGACGCGTATCCTAGCGACGCTGCCAGAACACCCACCGATGCTCCTCCTCACAAGAAGCTGCGGATAACTCGAAGCCAGAAGCAGGCCCTCATCGATAATTTGCAACTAGAGAGTATGGTCTTCTCGACATTCTGGATGCCTCATCTACTAACACAAGGTGCAGTCACGGAACGAGCTCGCAAGCTTCGCGCACAATACGCTCTCCAGGCACATGATCTGCGGGCTCGAATCGAAAGGCGCATTAACCGTATTCCTATCGCACTCCGAAAGGCCAATATGGGTGAATTGCTCGAGAAGCACAATAATTCGCTCCGACTGCAACAAAATGCCCTGTCCCCCAAGAAGCACGCCAGTCCCGGTAAAGGAACGCGGAATCTCACATCTGCCTCAGTCAAACGCGGAAAACAAAGTGTCTCTGCTGCAAGCCCAAGCACGCGTAGAGTTAAAAGGCAAAGGTGAGTTGCTACGACCCTTTGCGATCTTCCGATCCTTGTTCGCCTGCTGACGGACTGCTGTCTAGTCACGAGGGACTCTATTCGGACAAGGAAAACGCCCCTGCTGCAGGTGAATCTCTAGATGTGCTCAAAAATCCCAAGAGGCGTGCCAACCCGGCCGGCACTTCACGCGTCGTTTCTCAGGAGGTCAGAGGCGCAGACTACCGGATCCTCTCTCCAAAATCTTTGAACTCCAGAACGTACCCACAGTCACCGTTCCGTGCCTCTCCCGAAAAGCCTCATAACTCATCATATCTCTCTCGTCCCATGTCGCCCTTGAAACCATCCAGCCCCCTCAAGTCGACGTCAGCCAGTGCAGCAGGGAACGCGGATAATGCACGGTCGCGGACCACTAAGGCCACTACGACTACCACAAGGGACATGAGACCACCGTCTCAAGCTAAGAGACCCGCCAGCCGAGCTGCCACGACAACTAAGACTGTCCGGTCTCCCTTCTCCCGGCCTGCCACCCAGCTCGACCGCAGAGGGAGCATCTCCTCCACCGCTTCTTCGGGTACGACAGTGATCAAGCCAGGCAGAGCAGGAGCGGGTGCTAGGAAAGTAACCACCGCATCTTCCGCTAGTGCTCCCGTCAAGAGGACAACGGTCGCCCGCAACCAAGCGCCTTCCGTGGCCGCCAAAAGAAGCACCGCTTCTACGACCAGGAAGGCCACTGCTCCCGCAGGAGGTGAGGCTTCAGCCACGGGACGTCGAGTCTTGCGCAAGCGAGCGTAAAATTTGAATGCAAATTGTTTTCACACACAAGTTGGGACTACTGACTGGCGAGGGTGTTGTTTTTTCTGGAGTGGAGTGATTGATTTTCCGGAGGGTCAACCGATTCAAGATTGGGGTTTATTGGGGTCATGGCATTTGCATAGCTTGCTTGGCTGTCATCTTCAGTGATTGTATTCCTGTGGTTTTCTGTTTGGATTCTGTCCTTGTGCATTCATGCTTTGCTCGTGGGTGTCCATTGGAGTGTTGGCTTTCGATAATCGGGTTGGTGGGACATTTCATGCGAATCTTGCGAGTCGGTTGGGCTCCCATTTGCTTCTTCTTCAGTTAAAGGCGTTTGTCTCTGGTCTGAACGGTTAAGGGTTTCACTCGTCTAGAAGTTGTATGAATCATTTGTGGAATTGAGAGACTCTGACCTTCCGCTTGAAATATAACTGTGTAGATTTTGCCCTTGCTTGCCATTGTTCCCCTTACTTGCTCTCATGCAGAGGTCTGTAAGTGACACTTGTATTAAGAATGGAATAAGTCTGATCATACGGGTCAAAATCTCTTCGTATTCTTTGGTATTACCTCAAACCAGAAGGACTATTGCCATTGTACTACAGATTTACGAGCGCAGTCCTACAAATCGAAAATCACTGCGGTGGAGCAACAGAATTCGCTTCCTTGAAATCCTAAAGTAGATTACACCTCTTGTGTTTTTATGAGGAAATAACACCGCATGAGGACATGTATGCAATAATCGAACAACTTCTGGGGAATATTACCTCAGGGAGGCAGCAAGGGTCAAATGAGGTTGAAAAGAAAGAAAAAGAAAAGTAAAAGGGGCCGAGAACAACGAAGCCACAACTTTGACTCAGAACAGGTATCTTTGCGGTCATGCAGGCCGACTAGCGAAAACAACAGAAGACCAAGCAATACCCTCACCATTTCCGCACCATTGTTGATGGGATGAAAATGCCAAACACCAGGAAGAAAGCAATGTGAGGTAAAGAAGAAAAG